CTTAAATGGGGAAACCACGGTGGAAGGGTTAGACAATGTGAGAAATAATGCCTAGCTAGTTTTAGAAAAAAAACCTGAAGTGACTGGCCCAGTAGCATCTTGTGGGGAAAAAAATATCTGTTGGTGTTGGGTAAAATGGAGAGGCTGATGCACTCTGGGAATCAATACATCCTTTATTGAAATAACCGAAAATCTTGGTATATTATGATCAAGTATATATGGTAATTAAAAGTACCAGACTGGTGGAACTAACCTTCTTGGATGTTTAACAGCAATACTTTGAGGCCTATACTAATTTGGACAGAGGGACATAAAGGTACAGTTTTTGCTCCTTGCCCTCCTACGTCGACTAAGTTCCAGAGGACTATGAGCATCTCTCAAAATGTCCTGTAACTGTGGTGAGTCACCTGTCTTCTTGAGCAAGGAGTCCATGGAGACCCCACTAGATGGACCTGATCCAGTGTCCAGTCTACAAAGAGGAGGGTCAACACAGAGGAAACATATCCTCTATGCTTCCAAGGGAAGCCAGCTATGGTCAAGGAGGACCTTTGACTTATCTTCACATAGATGGAACTGGTAAAAGAAAAGAGGCAGGGGCTCCTCCCAAGCCCATGTTACCCCTGAGGACCTAAAGAGTAAAAATAAATTGTTTTATCTGGGACAACAGTATGGTCTTAAACACCCAAAAGGAAAGTATAACCAAAGATTAATGGGGTCAACATAATTTTTAAGAGTCCATATATATAGCTAAAGGCTACATAACAAGAAACAATGCCAGACAGGTGATACCTTCCTTTGAGTTATTGGCCCGGGTGGCACAGGAAACTCCCAGAGAGTAACCCAGCATAGAACTGGGAAAATGAACAGCAGACCCCAATCTTATCTAAAGGAATATTGACAACTGATTGCTGCTAGATTAGGAATAGCTGATGTTCCTAAAACAAGGCTCTCTAGATAGGCTGACTAGATTCAGCAGACGGACAAGCACTGGAGAATGGCTGGGGGTGTCGACAACACAGTGGACAGTAACAGGGATGAGTGTGTGGGAGGGGGGAGGCTATGGGAGGGTGGAGGGTGCCATTTGGGAAGTGGGTATATAGATGAATAAGATTGTTTGTGCTGTTCTGTATGACATACACACAAAAAATCACATTTTTAAAAAAGACATATTTGAGGAGGAAGCATAAAATTTTACTTCATGTTTAATAGTAGAGGTGATAAACATTACCAGTGAAATCTATCTGATGACTTTATATCCATACTCAGGTACTAAGGATCTGTCGAATGCTCCCCAAGCCCACCAGGCTTGGGTCTTCAACAAGAAACAAACTCAGACAAAAGTCTGAAGTGTTATGAGGAATTTATTTAAAGAAACACAGTTACAGGTAAGGGAGTGAGTACAAGATGGCTCTCTCTGTGTGGGGATCACAGATCTTATATAGGACTCAGACTTGGGGTTACCAAGGAGATTTTCCTAATAGAAACAAAAGAGTAACTATTACAGCCACTTTTGAAAGAGATGTATCCTTGCTCTGGAGTGTGTTACTGAATATGTTAAAGATATAATGAAATGCTTCTTCTAATCATGTGGTTATTAAGTTTTTTAAAAAATTTAAAAAATTCTTCAAAGCATAAAAATTTTCTCCTTAATGACTATGTGAAAAACATTACCATTTAAATCTACCTGATGACTTTATATCCATGCTTAAATGCGAAGGATCTCAGAAAGTAACCAACTGTGACTAGTAATAAGATATATAGAGATTAGAAATGCATGTGCAAAGATCATAGTGTTAATTGCATTAAAAATGAATTTTTCTGTATGAAACTATGTATTTTAATAATGAAATGGAGATCTTTTATAAAGATTAAAACCTCATTCAATTTTATGTCTTAGTACCTAGAGAAAAATTCATGAAGACAAATTAGAATACTCTTACCAGGGGTATAAAGGGAGGCAGAATGGGAAGCTTTATTTTAATGGGTGTAGGTTTTCTGTTGCAAATGAAAAAGTTCTGAAATTGGATAGTGGCAATAGTTTGCACAGTAATGTGGATATAATTAATGCCACGGAACCCAACACTTAACAGGGCTAAAAGTGGCAAATGTTGTGAGATGTGTGTTTGATCACACTGAAAAGTATTAAATAAGCCTGGAGCCCAGAGTGGTTTCCTGGCTGTAGGCTTAAAAAAAAGATGGAGAGTAATCAATGAAGATACTGACACTAACCTCTGGCTTACATGCTTACACACACACACTCACACACACACATAAACACAAACATACACCACCACATAGATGCAAAAATAATTTATAAACATCTTAAAATTTAACTTTCATGCATCCTTTTCTGGAAACTACAAGGAAAATACTGATAAAATGAGAAAGTGAGACAGAAGAAACAGAAAAGAGAAGGTATTAAACACAGGGAAACTGAAAAGAATCTCCAGGTGATCCTGAAGGATGATCCCAGGAAGAAAATTCTATCTCTAGCATGGGGGTCCAGGCTGGATCTGTGAGAGTTGAGAGAGAGGTATTCTGAGGAATATTTATCAGTGAACCCCTTGACATCTTATCATATTTTCAATCACAGGAACCTATTAAAATACATAATCTATTCAAGACACAGAGTAAATGGGAAAACAGGAAGACACAAAAGGGCATAAGTGGGAAATTTAACTATAATAAAAGGCAAAGAGAATGCCAAGAATGAAAATAATGGGAAGTCCCAAGGTGACAGAGAACCGCAGATGTAGAAAGCAGTCACTCAATTTAAAGGGAAACTGATGTCTTGGGAGACATGGGAATCACCGTGTACAGAACTGTATTGAGAGCCAACTAGAATGAGAAGGTAGAAATAGAGGGTGAAAAAGCAAGCCAATTATTACTTCAAGAAAATAAGGAAGGGGTCTGCAGAGATGGCTCAGCAGTTAAGAACACTGGCTGCTCTTGCAGAGGACCTGAGTTCAGTTCCCAGCACCCATATGGTGACTAACAACCACTCGTAACTCCAGTTTCAGGGAATCCAACACCCTCTTCTGACCTCCGTGGGTACTTGCATGTAAGCAAAACATTCATACACATAAAAAATAAAAATAATTTAAAAATAAGGAAAAGGGCATTATTACTACATAGGAATCGCCCTATCAGGTTGCAAGTGAAAGAAGATATGGAAGAGCTAAAATTTAATTCAGCCTACAATGCAGTCAGCTGATAACACATGAGATTAATCAAGATATATCAGAAAACAGATCAGTGGTGGAAAAGGTGTCTAAAAAAGCTCTAAAATGGCTGCATCTTGGGGGGAAAATAAAGAAAAAAGAGAGAAAAGGCAAAGGACTAGTGTGCTTTAAGTCATTAGTGCTACTTGATTTTTAATAAAGGTTATGTGTTACTTTGGGGGATGCAAGTGTTGCCAAAAGTAGAAAGTAAATCAAATATAAGGTATTTGCTGGTAATCAGAAAAGAAACAAAGATAAGTAATACAATGAAGGCATGAAGCTAAGAAATTTGAAAACTAGAAATGACTTAAAATTAAAGCTACTTAAAAGGTAAAAATTCTGAATACATTTACAATCCAAGGCAAAACCTATTACCAACAGACACACTGGAATTCAAGCAGTTTAAAAGGTAAGTGGCAATTAAGTATGTATAAACAAATAATCATATTCAAATAAAAAACTTCTGTTATGTAAAGGTAGATGGAAAGGTTCCTAAATCATTTTGTGACGTCAGAATGATAGTATACTACCCAAACCATCAAGTTAAATATGACCAGAAACATTGATCAAAAATATCCTGAAACCACATTGACAAATCAAATCTATGTTAAAACTATAATGCATCGTGGTTAAATTCATTTATGTCAATGATTCAAGAATATTTTGGTCTTTTTTGAGAGATGGTCTCCCTGTAGCCCCAACTTGGTCACTATGTAGACCAAGCTGGCCTTGAACTCACAGAGATCCACCTACCTCTGCCTCCTGGGTGCTGAGACTAAAGGTGTACACCACCACACCTAGTAATGATTCAAGAATTTGAAAGCAAAGAATACATGAATAATTTAAATAAATATTGAAAACATTTTATGAAAGAAAAAGCACTTTCTTGACTTAAAAAAATCAGTTTTTCTCTCTGAGATCAACCATCCATCAAAAATATGCAATCTAGAAGCACTTCCACAAATGCAAAAGTTTGCGACAACTGATATTACAACATTCACTGGATATTGGACATCCTGGAAATTGATATTATAAATGAGCAATACATAGTACTTAAGTCAGATGAAGGGTGAAAATTGTGGTACAGAAAGTATTCTAGAAATGACAGGTGAAGAATGAAAGGAAATGGAAACATTTTAGGATATTTCTCCAATTCACCAGAAATGGAGAAAAGTCCAGTTATTTTGTCTTATGAATATCAGTTTTGCTAAGTGACTTAAAAATTAATATACATCCAGGAGTGGGAGCACTAACCTTTAATCTTATCACTTGGAGGCAGAGGCAGGTGGTTCTCATGAGCTCAAAGCCAGTCAGATCTACATAGTTCCAGGCCAGCTGAGGCTACAGGGAAACCATCTCAAAAAACAAACAAAAAATTAATAAACAGCATTGGCTATTTGTTGACTTTTGTGGTGGTTTCATTTTCTTTTATATTCTTTACTACCAATATTTGAAACAAATTCTCTTCAGATTTTCTTTGAATTTTAGTGGGGAACCAGAGTTTAATGTCCTTAGATTTAAGAAAACAATTATTCTTTTTCTATGAATTTTTATCATCAAAGAATAAAATGCAAGTAAACTATTACTTATGATCATTGCTGTGAACTTTTGAAGAAAAAGCACCACAGAATCCTGGTGCAGAATGCCTTTAATCCTCCATCTTTTTGTTCTATTCTCGAGAAAGATACTAACACTCAGAAAACGCAAGGTGGCGCTGCTGACTAAAAAGAGAGAGGGGGAAATAACTCAGGAAAGATGTTACAGATTCCCAAACCAAGGAGTCTGAGAAGGAAGTCAGAGGGAACGACAGCACCTAGCAGGCACTGGGAAAGGTGCGACTCTTCTATCACAGGAATTGCTAGTGTCCCGTTCATTCTAAAGATTCAGCTGCTGGCATTTCTGGGAGCTGCTTGAGGCTGACTGGAAGGAGTTTTTTTCTCTTTAAAGACTGACAGAAGAATGGAGGCCAGATGGGAGCGAGCTGTGCAAAAAAGGCAAGTCCTATTTCTTTGTGTATTTCTGGGAGTGTCTTGGGCTAGTGCTGAACAGCTTCAGTATTTTGTGGATGAGGAAACAGAGAGAGGCACCTTTGTGGCCAATCTAGCAAATGATTTGGGGTTGGAGCTGGGGGAATTGTCATCCCGGGAAGCTAGAATTATTTCCGACCAGAACATAAGGTTTGTGCTGCTCAATCAACTCACTGGTGACTTAATTCTAAATGAGAAGCTGGACCGAGAAGAACTGTGCAGCTCTACAGAGCCCTGTGTACTGCCTTTCCAGTTGCTGCTGGAAAAGCCGTTTCAGATTTACCATGCTGCACTACAAGTCAGAGACATCAATGATCATTCTCCAGTATTTCTAGACAGAGAGATTCCCTTGAAAATATTAGAAAGTACCACTCCAGGGACGACATTTCTCTTAGAGAGGGCACAGGATTCAGATGTTGGAACCAATACCCTGAGTAACTACACCATCAGCCCCAATGCCTACTTCCACATTAATGTGCATGATGGAGGGGAGGAGACTATCTTTCCTGAATTGGTACTGAACCAAATGCTAGATCGAGAGGAAATACCCGAGTTCACATTAACTCTCACAGCCTTGGATGGTGGCTCTCCATGCAGATCTGGGACTACCCAGGTGCGAATTCTGGTGTTAGACACGAATGACAATGCCCCTGAATTCTTGCAGTCACTCTACAAAGTTCAGGTGCCTGAGAACACCCCCCTTGGCTCACTGGTTGCTGCTGTGTCTGCTAGGGATTTAGATATGGGAAGTTATGGACAAATAGCCTACACATTTTTTTATGCCACTGAAAGAATTCTCAGAACTTTTCAAATCAATTCAACTTCTGGCAATCTTCATCTTAAAGGGGAACTGAACTATGAAGCAATTCAAAGTTACTCATTAACTATTCAGGCCAAAGATGGCGGGGGCCTTTCTGGAAAATGTATTGTGGTTGTAGAGGTAACAGACATAAATGATAATTCACCAGAAATCCTTATGTCATCACTAACTAGCTCAGTTGCAGAAAACTCTCCAGAGAAAGTCATCGCTGTTTTTAGAATTAGAGATAAAGATTCCGGAAATAATGGAAAAACTGTATGCTCCATCCAAGACGATCTCCCCTTCGTCCTGAAGCCGTCTGTGGAAAATTTCTATACTCTGGTGACAGAAGGACCTTTGGATCGAGAATCCAACACTGATTACAACATCACCATCACAGTCACCGACCTGGGCACACCCAGGCTGAAAACCCAGCACAACATAACCTTGCAGGTCTCCGACGTCAACGACAACGCCCCCGCCTTCAGCCAAGCCTCCTACACCATGTACGTCCCCGAGAACAACAGCCCCGCCCTGCACATAGGCACAGTCAGAGCCACAGACTCAGACTCAGGCGCCAACGCCCAGCTCACCTACTCGCTGCTGCCGCCCCACGACCCGCACCTGGCCCTCGCCTCGCTGGTGTCCATCAACGCCGACAACGGGCAGCTGTTCGCCCTCAGGGCGCTGGACTACGAGGCCCTGCAGGCCTTCGAGTTCCGCGTGGGCGCCGCAGACCGAGGCTCGCCCGCGCTCAGCAGCCAGGCGCTGGTGCGCGTGCTGGTGCTGGACGCCAACGACAACGCGCCCTTCGTGCTCTACCCGCTGCAGAACGCCTCTGCGCCCTGCACCGAGCTGCTGCCCAGGGCGGCCGAGCCGGGCTACCTGCTCACCAAGGTGGTGGCGGTCGACCGCGACTCGGGCCAGAACGCCTGGCTGTCGTTCCAGCTGCTCAAGGCCACCGAGCCAGGCCTGTTCGGAGTCTGGCCGCACAATGGCGAGGTGCGCACCGCCAGGCTGCTGAGCGAGCGCGACGCGCCCAGGCACAGGCTGCTGCTGCTGGTCAAGGACAATGGCGAGCCGCCGCAGTCGGCCAGCGTCACGCTGCACGTGCTGCTGGTGGATGGCTTCTCGCAGCCCTACCTGCCGCCGCCCGAAGTGGCGCGCCAGCCCGCGCAGCCCGACGCGCTCACGCTCTACCTGGTCATCGCCTTGGCCTCGGTGTCTTCGCTCTTCCTCTTCTCGCTGCTGCTCTTCGTGGCCCTCAGGCTGTGCAGGAGGACCAGGCCGGCCTCTCTGCCTGGCGGCTCTGTGCCTGAGGGCCGCTTTCCTGGACATCTGCTGGACGTCAGTGGGGCGGGGACCCTGTCCCACAGCTACCAGTATGAGGTGTGTCTGGCTGGCGGCTCAGGGATGACCAGTGAGTTTAACTACCTAAAACCAATTGTCCCCAACTTCCTAACACAAAGCATAGGGAGAGAAGTAGAGGAAAACTCCTCGTTTCAGAATCATTTAGATTTTTGATTTAGAATAAAAACTAAATCCTTATACCTATATATACAGTCCTCGTTTAAAGCAGAGCCATGGCTACCTGTAGGGAAGTGATTCTACATTATTTCAAAAATTCTTAAAGTTAGAATATTAATTTCTTCATATAGAAAGGAAACTCTAGGACTGCTTCCAAGAAACTTTCCTAAAACATGAGATGTATGTATGGCATGTTTTATCTCAATTAAATTAATTTGATTTTTATTCTTTATTTTCAAGCAATTGTTTAATGTGCAATCTATTGAATGGCAAATATTGGTAGAAATGCTTTAAAGTATCTTCCATCTAAATTCTTTATTAATATTTTAATTGCAATAAACTCTGAGTTTATTGGAATTACATATATACATATATATTTGTTTTGGTTTGTTTTTTTTTTAGTACTTACTGTGCAGCATACATTATTTCATCATTGTTTTTGTGTCCAGGGTGGCCTTCAACTGTTGATTCTCCTGCATCAGTCTCCCAAATACTGGCACTATAGGCATTGGCCTGTTTTACCATTTCAATTTCAAAAGAAACCAGTGAACAGAAGTATTCAGTAAGGCTCAAGTAGATGTTCACAGTGACTTAGTAAGCTCCCCAATACCTGGCATAGCAGAGCATCTCCTAGTTTGTTTCATTTTGTTTATTTGAAGTGTGTGAGATTCTCCCCTAGTTCTGTCAGACACCAAAATTATGCTGTTTTCTATCACTATATATCACCTGGAAAGTTATGCCTAACAAAGAAAAATATTTTTGTCATGTTCATACTGCTGTTCAATCTCTCTTATATCTAGGAATAATAATGTTCCTCCTGGCCTATAGTTTTATCTTCTTATAAACTAACAATATATCTTTTAAGCTTGATCATTTAACTATTATTAAGGCTCTGATCTAAATTAAAATCTCAAGTTGAAAGATCAACTTGTGCTTTCTCCTTGCTTTCTGGACATGACTCACATTTAATAGAAAAGAATAAATGAATGGCCTTGAATAGAATCATTATATAATTTAGACAGATTTGTTTATTATTTTCCTTAATTGCAATAAGTTTTTGCAGTCATTCATATTTTTAAATTCCTATTCAATGCACTGCAGTAGTGAATTGGGAGAATTTCAGAAAATAAATAGTAATAAACATGTAATATAAAAGAGAAATACCAATGTTCAGTAAACATAAATTCTAGGCAGCTGAGGAGAAGCTGTATTAAAATAATCTGTAACTGTTTTTTTAAAACTTATGCAGGGCTGCTAGTGTAGCTAGTAGTAGAGCACTTGTCTAGCATAGAGAATTCCTGTGCTTGTCCCTCATAAAAAAATTATCTAGATATTTTGACTAGATGTGCTCTGAAAATATTACAAACTAGTGCTTGTAACTCCAAAAATAGTATCGCTGATCATCACTAGTGGGCTGCAGTCTAAGGACAAACAAAAATCACTGCAGTAAAATCTTAAATTGTATTCATAGTCTCAGAATAAAATTATCTAGTTGCTCCAAATAAATGGCATGGAAAATAGGAGAAGTTACTTTACACAGTGAAGAACTTTAAGAGGCCCAACAAACCAATATGATACATGGTAGATCTTTATTTTTAATATAGATGGTTAATAATAATATTAACTTAATTGCTAGTTGGGCATGGTGGTACACAACTGTAATTCCAGCACTCAGTAGGCAGAGGAAGGAGGAACAAAGAATATTCAAGGCCAGTCTCCTCTACATAACAAGTTCCAGTCAGCTAGAGCTTGATAACCAGACCTTGTCTAAAGACAGGCAAAAAACTTCTTAGTACATTATTATAATGAAGGGTTTTTAAAATCCACTAACATGTTAATATACTGTGTAGGGGTGAAAACTCAACTTTCCTAAGTTGTGAAAATGTTCAGAATGGATAATTATAGCAAAATCTAGTGACTGGTCATCCAAGTTTATCCTACTATTCTTTTATGGGATTTGAGGGGTTTTTTTAAGTGAAAGGTTTTAGAAATTGATCCTGTGAGAAGTAGAATTCATTTAAAGACACACACACACACACACACACACACACACACACACACACACCCTTCTCAGACACAAAGTCATTGGTGCTGTCATAGATTACACATCTATTTAGGAAGTCTCCAAGTCTCCTTTCCTTGTTCAGTCACCTTCATCATTTGGCAAGGTAACTTTCTAATACTGGACTTGCTCGTGTATACCATATGAATTAAGAAGCATTTTCTATGTCAAATTGTCATACATTGCTTGATTACTTTCCTTCTGAATCTGGTGGGAACTCATAACAGTACTATGAAGTAGATACTATTATCCTCATCTTATAAAAGAGAAAACTAAGGGAGAAAGGTTAAATAATTTGCCCAAATATCATAGCTGTGGTTTCTGTGATTCATAGCATTACAAGTGTATAGTTCTGAAAATATTCTGTTACTAGAAATATATATACGTTTATGCATGCATTTCTTGCATATAGTCTTTCCTTCCGACAGGCTAACTTAATTAAATATAAACCGTTTCCCCAAAACTCAATTAACACATTTAAGAGTCTCTACTAATGTCCTTCTCTTGTGTGGCCTCCAGGCCATTATCTGCCCAATAGCACCCAGAGATAGTATTGGTAATGTAACCCTTAGCCCAGTGGCAGATACAGGCAGTTTTGGGTATTTTACAACCATTTTCAGCCCACAAAATGTTAAGACACTGTGAGAATGCATGGTGGCGCTGTAGGATAAGAAGGCACAAAGTGGAACCGCAGCTCCATTACCAGGCAAAAAATAATCACAGAAGTCTGAAAGCTCAGGGAAGGGTGGACACCACGGCACCGGGGTCTGGGCTCTCAGGAAAGGACTGGAATCATTCTCAGTTATGCAGTGAAATAACACGTTATAGGATACCAGGGGACTGTACAATTCAGCTGAAACATCCTCCCAGGACGCTACACCACCAGGAACAATGGAGGAAAGCAGGAAGCTCATTTGCAGACAAAGGCAAGTGCTTTTTATCTTTTTCCTATTAGAGTTATCTCTGGTGGGTGTAGCCCAACCAAGGCACTATTCTCTAGTGGAAGAAAAGGAGGGCAGGTCCTTTGTAACCAATTTACTAAAGGACCTAGATCTTGAGCAGGGGGGACTTTCCAGGCGAGGGGCTAGGGTCATTTCTAAGGGTAACAAGCTACATTTGCAGCTCGATCAGGAGAGTGGGGATTTGCTGTTAAATGAGAAACCGGACCGGGAGGAACTGTGTGGACACACAGAGCCCTGTGTGCTACATTTCCAAGTGTTGCTAGACAATCCCTTAGACATATTTCAAGCTGAGCTACAAGTAATCGACATAAATGACCACTCTCCAGCATTCCTAGACAAAGAAATCATACTAAAAATATCAGAGAGTAGTCTCCCAGGGACTTCATTTCCACTGAAGAATGCTCAGGATATGGATGTAGGTGAAAACAGTATTGACAACTATCTCATCAGTTCAAATTCCTATTTTCATGTACTCACTTGCAAACGCAGCAATGGCAAGAAATATCCAGAGCTGGTACTGGACAGAGCACTGGATAGAGAAGAGGAAGCTGAGCTTAGATTGATCCTCATAGCACAGGATGGTAGCTCTCCACCTAGGTCTGGTACCACTGATGTCCATGTTGAAGTTGTGGACATCAATGATAATGCTCCTCAATTTGAGCAGCTTTTCTACAGGGTACAGTTCCCTGAGGACAGTCCAGTAGGCTTTCTAGTTGTCACTGTCTCTGCTACAGATAAAGACATAGGAATCAATGGAGAGATCTCTTATTCATTGTTCCAGGCTTCCTATGACATTAGCAAAACCTTTTCAATCCATCCACTGACAGGGGAAGTTCGATTGAAAGAACAACTTGATTTTGAAAGAACTCAGTCCTATGAAGTCAATATTGAGGCAAGAGATGCTGGAAGCTTTTCTGGAAAATGCACCATTCTGACCCAAGTCGTGGATGTGAATGACAATGCACCAGAGATTACTATGTCAGCATTTACCAGTCCTGTCCTTGAGAACTCACTGGAAACTATGGTTGCGGTTTTCAGTGTTTCAGATCTAGATTCCGGAGAAAATGGGAAAATAAGTTGCTACATTCAGGATGATCTACCGTTTTTCCTAAAGTCTTCTGCAGAAAACTTCTACACCCTACTAACAGAAAAGCCACTGGACAGAGAGAGCAGAGCCGAATACAACATCACCATCACAGTCACCGACCTGGGCACACCCAGGCTGAAAACCCAGCACAACATCACTGTGCAAGTCTCTGACGTCAACGACAACGCCCCCGCCTTCAGCCAAGCCTCCTACACCATGTACGTCCCCGAGAACAACAGCCCCGCCCTGCACATAGGCACAGTCAGAGCCACAGACTCAGACTCAGGCGCCAACGCCCAGCTCACCTACTCGCTGCTGCCGCCCCACGACCCGCACCTGGCCCTCGCCTCGCTGGTGTCCATCAACGCCGACAACGGGCAGCTGTTCGCCCTCAGGGCGCTGGACTACGAGGCCCTGCAGGCCTTCGAGTTCCGCGTGGGCGCCGCAGACCGAGGCTCGCCCGCGCTCAGCAGCCAGGCGCTGGTGCGCGTGCTGGTGCTGGACGCCAACGACAACGCGCCCTTCGTGCTCTACCCGCTGCAGAACGCCTCTGCGCCCTGCACCGAGCTGCTGCCCAGGGCGGCCGAGCCGGGCTACCTGCTCACCAAGGTGGTGGCGGTCGACCGCGACTCGGGCCAGAACGCCTGGCTGTCGTTCCAGCTGCTCAAGGCCACCGAGCCAGGCCTGTTCGGAGTCTGGCCGCACAATGGCGAGGTGCGCACCGCCAGGCTGCTGAGCGAGCGCGACGCGCCCAGGCACAGGCTGCTGCTGCTGGTCAAGGACAATGGCGAGCCGCCGCAGTCGGCCAGCGTCACGCTGCACGTGCTGCTGGTGGATGGCTTCTCGCAGCCCTACCTGCCGCCGCCCGAAGTGGCGCGCCAGCCCGCGCAGCCCGACGCGCTCACGCTCTACCTGGTCATCGCCTTGGCCTCGGTGTCTTCGCTCTTCCTCTTCTCGCTGCTGCTCTTCGTGGCCCTCAGGCTGTGCAGGAGGACCAGGCCGGCCTCTCTGCCTGGCGGCTCTGTGCCTGAGGGCCGCTTTCTGGGACAGCTGCTGGATGTCAGCGGGGCAGGGACCCTGTCCCACAGCTACCAGTATGAGGTGTGTCTGGCGGGAGACTCTGGGGCTGGCGAGTTCAAGGTCTTGAAGCCAATTTTACCTAATTTCCAAGGACATTCTCCCGTACCTTAAATGGAAGAAAATCCCAACTGGAAGAATGAGTTGGGGTTTAGCATTTGGTCAAAATAACTGCTTTGCATTATCTGTATTGTTTTCATTATAAATCAAATCAGGGTTTTTTTGTGTTTTTTGTGCTTCTCATTATGACGTTGTTAAACACTAACGCTTGTTTGCAAGATTATGCTGCACTTGTTTTTAGAAATGGTATCTCAGTTTTTCTCCAGAATGTAAGATTTTGAAAGGGGCTAATTTTTCCTAACTTTTTTGAGGTCAGTAGTTGTATAAATCTTTGTTCTGGACTAGCTTTGGAATGAAGCTAAAAAATGAAAAATTAATTCAGACTCATCAGATGTTCATTCCTTGTATGTTTGTTTATGACTCATTAACCCATTCATACATACTACACAGTAATGCATGAACACACTGAAGTCTAATCAGAAAGGGAAAG